TGCGGCGTTAGTCTGCGCGACAGCATTCAAATTGCCTTCTGCATCGGCAGCGGCCCCCTACACCGAGACGGGCCCCCTCCAGGTCCGCTGGCGGGTGCCGGTAGGTTCGCTCGCGCAGGGGGCCGCGGGGCAGGGGCCCGCAAAGAACGCCGCTATGTAGGCTCAGCGCTGGTGGCGGCCCTCCCCGAGATCCCCCTCTTGGGCCGTTATCGAACACCCGTGGCCCTCCCTGCGATCCTCCTCTGGGGTCGCCGTGGAACGCCAGTCCACTTTCTGGCCCGGGTGGGGCGCTGTGTCTGGTATCTGCGCCGATGACTTAATTTCCTGCCTGGGTCTCATCTGCCTCAATGTTATCTCTACTTCGCCCCTGCCTGCCCTTTCAACGTGGCTGACGCTTGCCATCTCGACTTTCGCCAGGCTCGACGTCGTCCGGTTTACTGAGCCTGCTATGAAGACATGGCTCGCCCCGTAGGCTTCTGGGCATCTGACTGTCCTGCCTGTGCTCGGCAGATTCTGCGCGGCCCATCCGCTTGAAGATGATGAGCCGATTCGCTGCTGCCGCTCCCCGCGCATGCCTTCGGTCTGCTAGGCTTTGCCTCTCTGGCTCCCCGGCTGCGCCTTTGCCTCGAGCGGCGCCGAGCTTCTGGTCCCGCGCATCAGCAGGGACTGCTTCATGCAACGACCGCGGCTAGTCATGTTTTGCTCGGGTATCCTTAGGCTTTCTCGAAGAAGTCGAAGAATCTCCTCGCGTCGAGCTGCCCATTGTCGTCGGTCGGCTCAGTCATGGCGTTGCCCGGGGCCTGCAGCTGCCCGTTCGAACGATCCTCTCCGATCTGCCTGCCGCGGCTCTCCTCCGAGAAGCAAGCCTTCCTGTTCCCGCCTGGTCAGCTCGGCGAGGTGGCCGCCCTGCCGTGGCCGCCGGTTGGTTCTTCGCTGCGTCCTTCGCGAGGGTGGCCAGGCTCTCCGCTGCCCGCGGCGCGGCTGCCGCTTGGGCACCCGCCGCTGGCCGCTGCCTCGCGCGCCCCGACGCGGTCGTGTCCGCGAGAGAACGACTATAGTGCTTACAGCTGGGGATTTGCTATGCAGCTTGTAATCGCCCGACTGGGATGCGAGCGCGGGCGCGCGGGCGCTCTCCATGCGCGCCCCGGGCGGCTTGGCGGTCAGGTGCGCGCAGCGCGCGCGTGCAGCGCCTGAGCAGATTTCCATATTCGGCGGGTAATCAAGAGAGATCGTGCGTTATCGGGGCGGTGGGTGTCTCGGCAGGTCTGCCGTGTAGGCGTTGTTGAGCCTTCGATGGCCTCGAACTTCTGAGGGTGGGCGCCGATTTTCGCCCGGGGATGATGGTTCGAACTCGTCTGCTCTTTTCGTGGGCGGGCTCGACGTCGCGAGCCATCGAGCGGTCGATTCCTGGCCGCGCTCGCTCCTTGCGCCTGAGCTCAACGCGGATAGAGACCTTGTTGCCTCCCATTGCCCGCGTGCTGAAACATCGAAAACTTTTCTCCGACGGGTCCACCTGGCCGCAGAGCTTGACCCCTATCGGATCGCTCAGAACTTCTGCGATCGCGGCCGGGAGTGCTGCCGTGAGCAACGCTGCGAAGAGGTGCCGGGCCATCGTGGTGCTGGAATCGAAGAACCAGACTCCGGTCCAGCTGGCTGGCTCAGGCCCGAAGGGCCCGGCTCCTCGCTGGTGCGCTGGATGATGTCCTTGGCAGTAGCCATCCTTGCTGACGTAGCTCCCGAATGACCGTCGTCTAAATGAAAGGCAGCGATCCGAGCCATAGAAACCGACGACAGCCTTGCGACCCCGAGGAAATGCGCAGTGTGGGAGCCGAAGGTCGGGCTGTGGTCGTTGAGCCCAGCAGCGGCATTATCTTCGCCTTTGGTCCTAGCTCGCCGAGCTCCGCTCGAGGCCCTCGAACTGGTGGTCAAAAACCAATCCATCGCTTGGCTTGGCCGCGGGGGCCCACTCCGCCCGCGAACGCCAGCCTCCTGACCGACGTCCTCTTGACGCCAATGTTGCTCAGCTCGCGTGCTTGCCGCTCTCTCGAGCTCAGCCATCGTGAACTCCGTCAGCGTCGCCCTGGTCCTTGCTTTCCAGTGTCAATGGCATCGGCCGCTCCTCTTCCTCTCTGCGTTCCTCGTGCCATCGTGTAATCTTTTGCCTCCTGGGTCTTTCGTCGCTTGCTGGCGTCCACAGCCAGACCAGTGTCCTGCCTGTGTGCTAAGGAACTCTCTCTCGGCTTCCGCGCAGTCAGATTCTGCTTCGCCCCCCAATTCCTGCGGCGCCATCGCGCGTCGCGCCATGGCGCAGCCCTCTCGGCTGTGCTCCTCGCGCCGCGGCCCGCTTCGCGCGCCGCAACTCGGGCTCTTCCACCCGTCGCTCGATTATTCCGAAATTCTCCGCGCCCGAATCGCTGGGCTTCGTGAACTTTGAGGTGCGTCCGAGGATGGCGACGTTATCGTTGACGTTGCGTCGCCAGGCCGCTCCTGTGTCCTCTGGCGCGCGCGGGCCAGCCATGCCGTCGCAGCGACTCCGTGCGCGAACGATTTTGTAATCGGCGGCGCCGCGATTCCGATCGTCGGGCATGCGCAAGAGTGATGTCGGGCATGCGCAAGAGTGACTCGAGGCAAGAGTGACCTTCGCCGCGCGACTTTCGGGGGCCGCGGAGGGGCCAGACCCTGGCGCGCAAGACGCTGCTATCGCATCGCCTTAAGTCATCTGCGGGCCCCCGTGTATCCGCGCTCAAGGTCACTCCAGCGAAAAGTCAGGCCTACGTGTGTCCGAGATCGGATGTCCCCGGCCGCAGCCCTTCGTCGTCCGCCGGAGGTAAACCGTCGACCTGGTTGCCGCCGGGCACTTCGTGGAGCTCCCAGCCACTTGTCCTGGCCGTCGTGGACAAGACAATGTCTCGTGGAAAGATAAAGGCGTTTTTCTTTGTTTCTCGAAGACAGCTCGAGTGGCAGACCAACCTCCGATCTCAGGGAGTAAGAGAGAAACTACTGTTCGTGGCCGCGTGCACGAACAGGCAGAACTGAACGAACTCTGCTGAATCTCGAGCCTTGAGAGAAAAGCTATTCGATTAAGGAAAAGCGTTTCTTATTCATACTACTTCCCATAGAGAGCTCGAGTGGTAGTTTAAATTCAAATATCTACAGGCGTTCGAATAAAGTTTGCGATTCTGCTGACTCGACTTCTGAAACCCAGAGCGCTGTAGCTGCTCTGGGTCTCGAGACCTGGTCTGTCAACCGAATGCACGCCAAAGTGTGCTCACAAAACGTCGGTTCCTCCAAGTGATTTAATCGTGATGCTGGGGCTAGAGCCCTGAAGTTTAGATAGAAACAACGCTTCATAATTCACTGCAGGGAATGAGGATGTTGGCTTGTCAAACGAATGTTCAAATCTCGAGCAATCTTGGTCAAACCGAACCGAAGTCACCATATTTGTCGGCTGTTCCGTCCGAAGCTACCGACGGTATCATGGCGCGTCTTATTCTGACTGCGCTCTAGATCCCATGTGCACGTGCGGGATCCTGGTGGCTCCTCCTGGGGGCGCGCCGCCATCCCCTGCAATCCCGTCGTGGTTCGGGCCGGCCACTAGACACGCCCCCCTCTCGATGGCCTCCCTTCCTCACTGTTCTTCTCCGGTTTGAAAACTCGGGTTGACCATGCCGATGCGTGTCACCCTGTGCGACTCACAAGCCATCGGCTCCCAGAATCCGGCGGGCTCATCCTGGTCGGCAATGGCGCAACTGGCGAAGCATAGCCACGGTCATGTATCGAGGCTTCTGCCACACCTGCCGTGATGCCGATGACCCTGAAACATCGAAGTGTCCCCTGGGGAGTCTCTTCGGGTCAATCTACAGGTGGTCCGCCACAGCTGCCGCCATCATCCGGCTCCTTCCTGCGTCAAAGGCTTGTGGGCGTCGAGCACTGTCTGTGTCCAAGCTCGTATCTCCCCAATGTCCAAATCCGAATCAACTTCCAGCCCTCCGTTGCCTTCCACGTCGCCTTCGTATCTTCTAGAGATGCCCGCCTCAGTTGCTTCCCCTGCCCCCTGTGCTAACCTTGGCGGAGCAGCCCCCAGCTGAATCGGTCCAGTCGTTGTGACGGTTCCCTTTTCTCGACGTTGGGTTCTGATGCCGTGGCAATTATCCCAGCCAGTGTGAAATAATACCGAACATGCAAAACATGATGGCGATGTAACTTTTATCGATTAAACTAAGAGCCTTCCGCAAACCAGCCGAATTCTTAATGCAAACAACTCAGGCTGGTAGCCGCCAGGTGTCCTGAACCCAAATTAAGAGCCACCGCGCGTCAACCTAACGATGACGTCGGGGTGGAACGGCGATGGCAACATGAGAGGCGGGAGGCAGTATAGGAGCGAACTACCCCCTTTCACAAAAAGCCCCCACGTTACGCCCAGAGGGTTCCGATGGGCCCACCAGAAAGGCCCGAAGAGGCCAACATCATTGACTGTCGTTCGGCTTCTGGAGAATTTTCGCGTTCTCGCCTCTCTGGGCTTCCGACAGCGGAAGACGGCCCCAGGGGCCTCCAAGGTAGCTCCAATGCGATTCCAAAAGCTCCCCAAAAAACCCACAGACGGGCCAAGAGGGTCCCACGAGGCCCCCAAGACGGCCCCAAGAGGGCCCCAAGACAGCCCCAGGGACTTCCAAGACGGCTATAAAACGCCCCGAGACGGCTCAGAGAGGCTCCCAATGCAGCCTCTGAAATCCAAGAAGCCTAGAAGAGGCCGAAAGAGACTCCCCAAGAGGCTCCCACTAGACACACCAAAAACTCACGAGAAGTAATCAGAAAGCCCTCACGAGGCCCCAAAAGGGCCCCAAATGCCTCCTCCTCCTCCTTCTCCTCCTCCTCCTCCTCCTCCACCCTCTCCTCCTCCCCCGCAGTCAAGCAGCTTGGCCAAGCTCTGGCCCAACGCTTGGCCACGTCGGCGTTTCCAGAAAGCCAGGGGGCGGCGGTGACTCGCCGTGAGCGTCTTCGATAAAGTAGTTGGCGAATGTTGTTGAAATTGTCCGGGCGCGTGGTGTGACTCTGGCCTGGATGGTGTCTCAACCACCCCTGGGTCCCCAGAGGATCGACACCATTCGAAAAGGAGGCTCGACCTCCTTTCTGGAAGTGTTGTTTGTTCTCATCTCCCTCCCGCAAGCTTTTTGTCACTCCAGACTTGCAAGTCGACCTTCCGAATGGAAGTTTTGGGTCCCCGGGCCCCGTCAAATGCCCCCGATCTCCTGATGGAGGAAGGGGAAGGCCGAGAACGTGGGCAAAACATGACTTCTTTCACAAGGCCCCCTCCCCACTCCAACCGCCGCGGGCTTCGTTGGTGTCGGCCAGAGGTCCCCGAAGGTCGTCATGTGCCTCTGGAGGCCTCTGGAAACTCCTGGAGAAACAAACCGTCCAAAGCTCTCGATCCTCCCCCTTCCCACCCGACATCGGGGCACGCCGGGGGCCTTGTTGGTGCACAGGGCGGGGTCCTAGTGCCGATTCTTTTCAACGACGTGGACCCCCAGAGGTCTCGACTCCTTTCCTTCCCCGGGGGCGAGCAATTTGTCATCCCAGGCTGCTCTTCGATCGGGAGCGGCCAAGAGGGGGGTGTCCAAGAGGAGGGGGTGCAAATCATGACCGGCGGCATGTGCGCGGCCCAGCGGGGGGGCCAGGGACGTAATGAAGCAAGAAGAGGCGCCATGAAATCTGGGGAAATATCATGGCCCCCGCCAAGATATCCCCCCCCCTCCCCAGTCATCACCCCCCTCTTTGCCGCCCCCGAGTCGACAGCCCCCAGGGTCTGTGAGGAGGTCGAGCACTGCCCACACCATCCCCGCGCGATCGGATCGCGATGACGCGGGAGGTCTCGGCTCGGGGACAGGCATCGACCCGAGGACCTTCTCCGGGGTGCGTTCTGACCGAAGGACTTCGAAAATCATCCACTCGTGGCCGACGAGAGGCAGCCGGGGGAGCTCCCGGGAGGGGCGAAGATCGCCCAGGAACCTCTCGCCGCGAGCCTTCCACGACGCAAGGGGGCTCTGGGCCCCAGAGATCTGACGCGCTCGTCGACCTTGTTACGGCGGCCCCGGCCCCGACCTTTTCCCCGGGGCCCTGCTTTGCATCCTGAACAGCCCTTTGGCGGTCCTGGGGCCTGGTGAGGCCCCCCCCCTCCCCCCATCCCACAGGGTGCTGCAAACGACCAACAACCTCCGCATGGAATGGTTCAAAACGTCCCCTGAGATCCGACGCTGCGAAACACCTCCAAACTCGCGAACAAGATCAGGCTCAGAGCCCGGGACACCACCGCCCTTCCGCGCCATTCTTCGAGCTGCGTCGACCCGCGAGGGCCCCGGGGCCAGCACACCATGCGAGAAGACGCCCGTCGCGGTGACGGCATCGCAGCGCCACAGGACCTCAGAGTTGGAGGCCTCCGGGGGTGGGGCGCCGCGCGCGCGCGGCCTGAGGCCGATCGCCGCGCACCCGGGCGGCAGCGCCCAGGCCGCCAGGGCCAGGACCGCAGCGGCCCTGGCCGGCGTGCCGCATCGCCGCGGCAGGGGCGCGGGGGGCCCCCGCGGCGCGCCCGTGGAAGGGAAAGCAAGCATGTCGTAACCACCCCTGGAGGGCTTTGGGCCTCCTCGCCTCGCGGTGCTCGTTCGGGGTCGTCGCGGAAGGGTGTCTGGGCGTCTTCGTCGGTTCGTCGAGGTCTCCTCCAGCCTCAGGGCGCTCTCCCGCGGCCGCGCCTCGCCGAGGGCGTTCTGGGGATGGTCGGATTGTCCCGCTTGGCCGCGCGGGACCTGCGTTAGGATCCGAAAGCTCGATCTCGTCGCGTCGTGCAAAAATCTCAACGCGCTGCGCTGACAGCAGAGAGTCCCACCAGCGCAACGGGTGGGAGGCTGACCGAGGGAGACAACGAGCCCGCGGATCGATCCCCTCCTGCTCCAGCGTCGGCCCCGGCAGAGCGGTCATGGAAGGGAAGGGCGGTCGGAAAGGACTGGCTCCCAGACTCCCAACGTCTTGAGCAGCAAGCAGTGCAACTCCCACCAACCCTTTAGCAAGGGCACCCAACTTCGCGCTTCGCGCTGCGCGAAGCGCGAAGTGCGAATAACTTCGCGCTCGCGCGCCGCCTCCCAGGGGAGAAGAGGAGGAGGAGGAGGAGGAGGAGGAGGAGGAGGAGGAGGAGGAGGAGGAGGAGGAGGAGGAATCGAAGCCGAACCGCGAAGCGCGAATACCTTCGCGCTCTCGAAGGCGCCCTTGTTTAGGACGTTGGTGGTTCAGGGCGTTTCCCCTTCTCCCGCTTCCCGCTCGGGCAGGGTCTCATCATTGTGCCCTTTTTTAGATGCACCCCATCCCCCATTGGACAGGGGGCGAGCACAGAGCCACGACAACCCCCTCCCCACCATCTTCTTCACAACGCAATGACACATACATGTTGCAGCAGGATCTGCATCATGCGCGGGCCACGTGGGCACATCTCTCACACTGTTCGTGGCCCCATGGGCAGCTCCACCGAAGACGATACTCACAACTGCGGCACTCGCAGCTGCATATGCTTGGGTCGTTCGCCAATCTATTTTTGACGGGGGCGAGTGAGGGTGGGGCCGCATATTGCCTGCTGCGCGCAGGCCCATCACCCCTCCTCAACAACAATATTTGTTACTCCGACGGTGGGAACCCGCATGAGAATCCTCTCGGCTAATCTGGAAGTAACCCTCAACGTCCTCCGCGTCAATCTCCTTCTCGCCCTGGCGCAGGCGCGAACATGACGACAATAACAGGATTCGGACGACCCGCTCGAGTGAATACCATGACCTGCGGGCCCCATCGGGAGGAAGCTTCCGCCTGAGACTTCCTCGCATGTCACTCACGGGCGAGGCTCCCGCAGGAGACTTTCTCCATATTCAGGGCTAAGGGGCCCGAAAGCGAGGACATTTACAGCATTCGGATGACCCGCTCGGATTGACAACATGACCTGTGGGCCCCACAGGGAAGAAGCTCCCGCCTGATACTTCCGCGCATTTCGCTCACGGCCGATGCTCCTGCACGAGACACGAGAGTTCCTCCATATTCAAGGTTCAAGGGACCGAACATGACGACACTTACAGGGTTCAGATGGCCTGCACGAATTGGGGACATGATCTGCTGGTCCCATAGGGAGGGGGCTCCCGCCTGAGACTTCCTCGCATTTCACTCACGGACGAGGCTCCCGCCTGAGATTTCATCAAGATGCGAGCCTCATGAACCCAACAGTGACGACAGTTACGGGAATCGAATGACCCCATCTCGCCGGAGACTTCCTCGCGATTCGCTCAATGACGAAACTTTCGCCATATACTTCCCCCATAGTCAGGCGTCATGAGTCCCAGAGTGACGACAGTTGCAGGAATCGAATGACCCCCTCGGGTTAATAATATGACCTGCGGGCCCCATAGGGAGGGGGCTCTCGCCTGAGACTTCCACGCAGGTCACTCGCAGACGGGACTCCCTACTGACACTTCATCAAGATTCAGGCCTCAGGAGCCCAAAAGCGACGACAGTTACAGGAATCGAGCGACCCCCTCGGATCAACAAAATGATCTGCGGGCACCAAAGGGAGGGGGCTCCCGCCTGAGACCTCCTCGCAGGTCACTCGCAGGCGAGGCTCCCGCCTGAGACTTCATCAATATGAGTGTGTGTGGGAGTGTGTAAGTGTCTGCGATGATGATGATGATGATGATGATGATGATGATGATGATGATGATGATGATGATGATGATGATGATGATGATGATGAAGATGACGATGGTGCCGTGATAACGATGATGCTGGGTGAGTGTCATGATTATGTGGATGATGGTGGTGATGATGCTGAGTGATGACGATGATGACGATGATGTTGATGTGTGAGTGTGTGCGAGAGAGGGGGTGAGGTGAGGTGAGAACTGCGCGGTGTGTCCAAAGAAGACTTTGGAAGTGAGGAAATACAGATGCGGCATGATCTTAATCATGCGCGGGCGCCCTGAAATCACTTTTCGTTGCTATTTGGTCGGGTGATCGGGGGTGCCCTGGCACGCGCAGCGCACCTCGCGGGCGTCGAGCACCTGGCTGGCGTCGGCGTTGGTTCCCGATGATTGTCGCTGGCGGTCCCTGGCCATGCTGAGACGGCTACTTCTGTGGTGAGAGGGCGGGTGGGGGTGAGCGGGCCGGCCGTCCTTTGGGGGAGGGTAGCTTGACCGCTGTTCCTTGTTAGTATGGCTGGCATGTGGCCTGCTGTGTGCACTCCCACCATCCCTTTCAACAGAAAGAGCAAGGTCCACCTTGCCAAGGCTGGCGGGTGGGGCGGCGTACTGCCTGCGCTGTGCAGGCCTTCAGTCCCGGTCCACAAGAACTCCGACGTGATTTAAAGCACAAACCAACAGCAGCACATCAACAACAAAAACAACAACAATTCAAAAACACCAACTATGTGGGTGCACACACACAATGCACCATGCTCGCAAGCCCGCCGTCACTTGGCATTCGTTTTTGACAGGGGTTGTGGGGCGGTCGACGTATTGCCCAATATTTCGCACCTGGTGCGCGAGGCGCACCTCGCGGGCATCGCGCACCTGGTTGGCGTCTGCATTGACTCCCGATAGTTGTCGATGGCGGCCCCTGCCTGTGCTGAGACCCGGGTGCTATTTGTGTCGTGGGAGGGAGGGCGGGTGGGAGTGAGCGACGCGGCTTGCAGCCTGGGGTAGCTTGGCCCCTCCCCCCTCCCCTCTCCCCCTGGGTCTGGACGGGGGGGGGGGGCGGGTACCGGCCAGAGCGTCCAAGTACAATGGGCCTTCGTTCTCAGCCTGCATGGCTGCTCGGAGGCGCTGTCCTGCAGGGCGGGGATGCCATCGACAGTGCTCGAGTCTCCGCAGTGCCTTGCCATGAGAATTCGCTTTCCAAAAGGTCATCGAGGAGGAGGCGGAGGAGGAGGAGGAGGAGGAGGAAGAGGAGGAGGAGGAGGAGGAGGAAGAGGAGGAGGAGGAACCCATCTCCGCGCCCGCAGATGGCATCTCGTTTCGGTCGCGCCATGCAACCATCGGTG